GCATTTGAGATTCAATGATGGCATGATGGTCACTTGTTCTAAGGTGAGTTATCTGCGTTTGATTCTCTGGCACGAGGAATTCACTTCCGTTTACATGTCAAATTGTGATAGGAATATACAGTAAATCTTTATTTTAGCTGATTAAATCAATCACGGGGATTCGCGTCGTTGAAGCTGCGCTGCACTTCATAAATTTCAGAAGTTTTGCTGAAGGGGGTTGATAAGAGTTTGATTGTGTAGGTCTAGTTGAAGTAGGCGTTCGTCCAAGTTTTGAGGCTTCAGGCGTCGTTAATTGCTGTATCTGTTAATTACAGTGTAATCTTAGTTAGGTGGCATCAGCAAATTTACGCATAGCTAGTAATTTGAGAGCTTGCTTCGGTCTACTAAGTTAAGCTGGGACTGTTTAAAAAAAAAGAATATTGTATGTTATTTCGGGAGCTGTCGTAAAGATTTGGTTTTTAAAAATATGAGTCATGTTTGACCGTGAAGTTCCATTTTTCATTCTGGAATCTGGAGAAATATTTTATGAATTCTCGGTAGTGGATCATATGACGTTATTAGTGTACCGTAGTTAAAAATTCAGTAGAATCACGTTACAACGAAGGATTTGAGACCTTGAAAGAATCCTCGTTATGAATGGAAATTCGTGAAAAAGAATTTAAAATCACACTGTGGCTATTGGACAGGGACCAAAAAACTAACTCGTTGTAAGCATTAATTCTTTATAACAATATTCTACTGTATCAAAAGATTTGATGAATTGGAAGAAAAGCTGGCAGATTCCAAACTTGAATTTTGTGACTGAACTTTCGCAGCAAGTGTTGAAGATTTTCCAATTAAAGAAAGGAGACCGATTCAAAAATGAAATGCTGTTGAACTTGCCTAACTCGAATTTTTTTTTCAAGTCTCAAGCACTATCAGCACTAGTTTCTCTAACCTCCTGGACTTGAAACCACAAAAATTCGAATATTTCTGTCCCTTCAGATTTGACTTCGAGAGGTCCACCTGTACTGTTAATTGACTAAACTACCGCAGCAAGTGTTGGACTTATTTTATTCCGATTGTAAGACTTATTTTTTGCGTTTATAGGATCGATCAATAGCGGTGTGGGACATGGTGTCGTCACGAGAAGTGAATCTGCGAAGAGTGCTCGTAGGTCATCGAGCGGCTGTGAATGTCGTGGACTTCGACGAGCGGTATATCGTGTCTGCGTCTGGTGACAGGACGATCAAAGTTTGGAGCACGTCCACTTGTGAGTTTGTGAGGACTCTCAACGGGCACCGGCGTGGCATCGCGTGTCTTCAATATCGAGACCGACTCGTCGTGTCTGGCAGCTCTGATAATACTATACGGTATGTTGATCAGAGTTCCTTCGGTCCGTCCAAACTTGGATTTTATTTTTTTATTTTCCCAAGTTCCATTTGATTTCACGTGCAACGGGTTCTCTTTCGCGCGAATTTCACGTTTACAAAAATCAAGCGCTGTGTTGAACGCGGCCGGGAGGCTTCTTTATTTATTTTTGTGCCGCCAAGTTCTTGGTTCCAATTGAAGTTCGTTTCTGTGAAATGATTTAAGAAGCCTGAAAAATTCGAACGAACTATGGACGAAATCACTGGATGTTCCAATCATCTCGAAAATGATACAGAATTTGTCAGCTGAATCTTTCGGGAGATGCTTTGAAAAGCCTTTGTTCGATGCTTCGTTAGCACCTCTATATTAAAATCTCATTACAACGAGCCCATTGGAACCTGTAAAACAGCTTCGTTAAACTAAAAGAAAAAAGCGTTACCGTATAAAGAAACTCAGATAATATTGTTCATTAAGGGTATTGGGCTTGGCTTTAAAACGAGCAAAAATTCGTTATAACAAAATTTGTTGCAGATTGTACTCAACCTTCATTCCCCTTATCCACTGCGTCATTGGAAAAAATGTAGTGTGGTGCAGTATAAACCACCCGTGTCGCGAAAATATTTTGAGAATCTCGTTATATACATACGATTCCGTATTTTGGTATGCAGTGTCCCCAGAGTAACAGAACGTTTTGACATTTTTTGAGATGCATACATTGAATAGAATTGTAACGAATTTCAAGCTTTTTTTTATAGAAGGTTGTTTCTTAGTGCTTGAGCTCTTCAGTAGAAACCGCTGACGTCGAATCGATCTACGTCTTTCTGATACCCCGTGTTATTTTTGTTGAAAATACTGTTTGTGCGAAATTAGTAGATTACATTCCTCAAAATTGTCTGCGAAGAAACCGGCTCGGGAACAGAAACGGTAGTTTCTACACCAAATTGCAGTAATACAGAGAGGAAATTATACAGTAGAAACATGTACAGGAATCCTTTGAAAAAAAAATTGATTCATCTGAGATCTGATCATCCTCTCGATTCGTTCATTTCCGAGGTATCAATGCCTTTATTTCTATACAGTATTTGTGTCAGCTGATGAAAAATAGACACGAGCATTTTGGGGCTTTCCAAACTGTTAATGGCGAGTATCGTTCTCACCTCGCGGCCCACCTATTGTGTAACCAACCACTCGTGGCTTCAAATTGAACCGTCAGCGCCTTTACGCACTTTTTTTATTTTATTTTTTGCGCTGGGGTGAATCCGGGTAACTGCAGTAATTTATTTTAAACTGCTTCACGCGTGATTGATCTACTGTCCTCGTCAATCCGTACTTATTCGATCTGCAGGTTATGGGACATCGAGACAGGAAGTTGTCTACGAATTCTCGAAGGCCACGAAGAGTTAGTGCGTTGCATCCGCTTCGACAGTAAGCGAATCGTCAGTGGCGCTTACGATGGTAAAATCAAAGTCTGGGATCTCCGCGCCGCGCTTGACCCTAGGGCACCTGCTGCCACCCTTTGCCTGCGAACGCTTGTGGTGAGTGCTTCGTCACCCTTTTCGTGACATCGTTTTATTTATTATTTTTTATTTATTTTGGAAGTTTGGAAAATAGTCCCGGGGCTAGAAAAATATCTGAATGGGAAGTCTGTAACCCAGAACCACCCAGACTGGATATACAGTGTATCCTGCATACATCGGTACCTTTAAGTACAAACGACTTCCACTATAGACATTCTTTCGGGCTAACACTTTTTTTTCAGCCTTCTGCTACGATGCCAATTTTTAGAGTATGAAGAATGAATTTGTTCTTCATGCAAATGGGAAAATTTTCTCTTCGTACAAATGTGATTTATAGAAGGAACATATTGCTCTAATGAATTACGAAATTTATTCGAGTATTACGCGTACTTGCTCAAAACTCGCACATCGGTTCTATTTAGCTCAAATCTGGGGAAAAATTATATACCCACATAAGACGCGCACCTTACAGTTTTCAGTTCCCATAATTCATATTTTGAAAACTACTATGGTCTTTTGATGAGTGTCCAGAACAAATTAAATGGTTATAATGTAACCTTGAGGGAAAAGGGGCCGTGAGGGAAAGGAAAGTTATGAAACGCACTCAAGAACGGCGTAGTTTCGTTTTACGGGGATGCACTGAATATTTGAGTCTTGATATCGACCTGTGAATTCCGATAGTATTTTTTATTTTTGAAAGGTCTTCAATTTCCAGCTAAGGATATAGTTTTCGTTCCTTTTGTTTCTTCGCGTGTGATGGTCACTTATGTGACCGTGTATGCGTTTCACGAAATCAATGATCGAATGATCTCGGTGGAAACTACCGGAGAAATTGAGGATGAAAATGGTAACATCCTTGGTGCATCGTTGAAATCATTGAATCCGTTGTACTTTTTTTTCATTTCCATTTATGTTCAAAAATTACGAAAAAAAAAAAAACGATGAAAAGAAAATATTTTTGGGCATCAATGTTTGCTGGCGGGCGAAATGACGATCGTCGTGTGCCGGGGGAAAATTATTTTGATTTGATTTTCTTCCCCGACTTGATCCGATGATGGGATCGGTGTTGCCGGGTGGCCTTGAAACACCTGGTCTGTACCCGAATCATTCCAGACTTTCGCTTGAGTCAAATTCGTCACTGGCTTTCCCTCCGATTGGCCCACTGATGCAGAGCTCGTGCGTTTGATCAACTCGATCTTGTGCATAGGCGTTGAGGCGATTGTATCAACAGAGTTCCAGCATAATTTTGGCTGGAAGAGATAACAAAAAAGGATACCTTACAGGAAGTGTCAATAGCGTATCGAATCTGAAGGCCGATATTTCATGATGAATACTATTATGAACGTGCATCAGGTAGGGGCTTTGAGTGGAATAATGTTCCTGGGGTACAGCCTCACAGGGAATCGGCCTTACTGCGGAGCTGTATTCTCCGTAGAGTGCCATTATAAAAACATTGTTTCTTGAAATGAAAATTTTGAACCATAAATCCTGGAGAACCAGAGATCGTGGTATTTGAGTAAATGCGGTACTTTCCTGTTATCTCAGTACCCATTTTTCTTTGTCTCGTGAATTCAGTATTTGTTAGGTTAGGTTAGGTCAGGTTATGTTAATTGAAATATATTTGTAACTAACATAACCTTACCTAACCTAACTTCACCTGACCGCCTCCCAAAATCAGTTTCTGCTTTCTTCGGGTTTCTGCTGAAACTGATTTTGGGAGGCGGTTAGGTAAAGTTAGGTTATGTCAGGTTATATTAATTGAAAGACATTTGTAACTAACACAACCTGACCTAACCTAATTTTACCTAACCCCCTTCCCAAATCAGTTTCAGCAGAATGCGGAAAAATGAAATTCACAGTTTCTGGTAGGTGCACAGAAAGGAGGTACTGAGATAACAGGAAAGTACCATAAATGCAGTAGTCTCATAAATTTCGACACCTCAGAACGGAAGAATTCAAAGCTCAGGACGAACCAAAATTTCGTTTTTAATGCACCTCTCTTTTTCAAACTACTTCCGGAAAATTTCGAGATCTTGTGTTTTTTCACATCAAAGCATGTTTCCATCTCGGCCGAACACCGATCTCGAGAAGCCCATAGAGAACGTTTTAAAGCGTCTAGTCCACTACTACTGCTTCTATGCTAACTTCACTTTTTATAGCCTACTATCCCTCTTTAATTTAGGTACTCGACGTTTCGAAATTCTCTACGGAAGTAAAATTTTATTGGTCGATAATTGAAGAATTGAGCAATGACATGGAAGCTGTTGAACGTTCTCACAGGGGAAATTGTCCTTTTGACTGGACAATTGTTTCCCTTTTGAGAATGTTCACTCGAACTAAAATTATCCCATAATTTTGGACTTTTCCGCGTATTAGGCAAATTATTCAACATTGAGCAGAGTCTGGAAATTCCGATACCCACCCCAATATTCCTGAGTTGATCGCACCGAGTGGAAGCACGTGAACGGAACATTCTCGTCAGGCGACTCCATCCGGTTTCCCCGCTGGTCATCGGTCTTATTTGTGGAGCAGGTGTCGGTGTTTTGAGCCATGACCACGGGAAAAGGCCGGCGAATGGCCAAAACCCGGGAGATGTCGCCTCTTTCCCAGGGTTGTTTCGTAAATTCATCTCTGGGTTTCTGGCTTTAAACTGTTTGGAGAATAATTTAGTTGGGGATGGGAAGAAAAAACCGTATCAAGCCGCGAAGTTTTTTGACGGTAAGGCCAGCGAATTGAATGCGGTGAGACCCCGAGATGCGGACGTAATTGGTGTTTCAAGAGTGTCCCTAAGTCTAAATGTCCCTAGATTGAGTCTCATTTTCCCTAAGACTTACATTACATAATTTTTAATTGGTGTTTGATGGACAAAATACTTAAATAATTCCATGAAAATGAAAATTGTCTCCAAATTGAAACTAATTCAATCAATATATTACAACACAAGGTGGAAATTTGGGGAATTGAATACTGATAACTCTGTACAGTACATAGAAATGTTGGCATTCTCTGTAAAAATAACATTCAAGTGAAAAAGAGAGAAGGGAATCCCTCTATGCTGGAGGTAATTCTTTAAAACAATATTCTACTGTNGTTGGCATTCTCTGTAAAAGTAACATTCAAGTGAAAAATGAGAGAAGGAAGTCCCTCTATGCTGGAGGTAATTCTTTAAATTAGCTAAATGGATGGTAAATTGGTGAGAGAAATGCCCAAGAACTTGTCTTGCATCAATTTTAGGGTTGGAAAAATCAGTTTCTTGTAATTTGGCCTGAAACTTATTTGCAATTTTATCCCAAAATGTCCCTATGTTGAGTCAGTGTCCTCATGTCAGGCCTTTTTTCTTTATTTTTTAATGGGAAAATAAGTATCCCTATGTCAAATTGTCAGCATGTTGAGGTGTCCGCATATGGGGGTCTCACTGTACAGTACTGTATTTACTGGCATACAGTACTATACACCCAATTTTTCCCAAAGTTGGTAGGAACAAATGGAGTTCGCTTCCTAAGCGGGATATAATTTTTAAAAATTTATAAATGGTAGATATTTGATAAGAAATTTCTAAAAACCAAAACAAAATTGAATTCTGGTTTAATTCATGTTCAAATTTGCACACTGGTGCCTCTAATTTTCGAAATATTGCAGTTTTTCACTTACAGTACTGAAAATGGGGTGCGTGTCGTACTTCAGTACCATAAATACGGTACTACAGAAAGATCTCGCTGCAACAAAGCCATTAATGGGATCTGTATGATAGCTTCGTTATGAAAAAATGCGTTTTAACGAAACTCAAATTGCATCTTGGCAATTAGACAAGGCCCTTGAAAACGAATTTGTTCTAAGCGGTTGTTTATGTAACAAGACTTGTTTTACAGTGAAATCTCTTTACAGCAAAGTTATTGAGACCATTAAAATGGCTTCGTCGTAAGTTTTAACAGAAAAAAATCCATGATGAGTTAACTCTTAACAATGTTTGGAGCAGGACCTGAAAGCAAGTTCATTGCGAGAAATTATTTTTTATAACGAGATTTTAGCGCAAGAAAAATTTTTTATACGGGGATTCTATCTGGAATGCTTGTCAACAACAATTTTCTCTGGATAATGATTTTCGTTTTGTTCCCGTAGAGTTCTCTCCTCATGTTATGGGGCTCAAATAAAATTTTCTCCACCGGCCAGGGCCGTGAAAAACAAGTTCACTGTAAGAAGTTTTTCGTTTAAAGGAGATTCGTGTATTGAAAGGATATTCTTTTTTTAAACAGTTCTAGTGAATCTAAAATAGCCATTTGTTTTCAAGGATTACTTGTTATAACGAGATTTCTTGTGAGGAGATCATATTGTTAAAAAAAAAAACATTTATCAGAAACTCATGTGGGCAGAGACCTAAAAAGCGACTTCGTTGTAAGCAATCGCAGTACATTATTTGCTACTACTTGATTCGTTGTTCCGAGATTCTACTGTTTTGAACCATGCTCACGAGTTGATCTCTATCGAAGTGCTCCATTTCGTCCTTGATCTTCTGAGCCAGGAGTTCGTCAAAGTTTTCATTTCTCAGTTCGCCTTGCTTGAGCACTACTGTCAATTTCAATACTCGATCTTCGTCCGATTTCAGAGTCTTCTCCTGTGAGTTGGCATTTCATGAGTTCGAATATTGCACGAGCTTCGATTATGTTGACTTTGATTAACTACTGTATACCCAAATTTCGAGTTGATGGAAGAAAACAAATACTGTATTTACTTCGTCGTATTTTGAATGTGAATTGATGTACAAGTGGAACCTCTCCAGGTCAAATTTGAAGGGACCAGCAAAAAAAAATCGACTTAGAGAGGTTTTGAGTTACATAGAATTATGTATGCTTTACTTATATAATCAAGCATTTTTATTGTGGTAAACATTGAAGAATTGCACTAAATTGTACACTGTGATATTCTGGGCCTCAAATTGCTTCTAAAATGAGTTGACAGAGCACTCGACTTGGAGACAGGGGTTCATTTGCCTAATTTAGTCGGTCACATTCTGTCAAAGCACATCAAATTCAATTTTTAATTTTTTTTCCTTCCATATTCCAATAAAATAATAACCTGAAGGCCTCAAAAATTTGACTTATGGAGGTTTTAGAGAAAAAGCCTTCCAGTTAGGGAGGTTTTTAATGCATTATTTCTAATGGAATTCAGACGAGGACTAAAAAAAATGCGACTTATGGAGGTATTCGACTTAGCGAGTTTCAAGTGGGTTCGACGAATTTTTTTAAACGTACAATCCTTCTGAAATTAAATTCGATAATAAAAGCGTCGTGAAATGGAAAATAATGTGTACAAACATCAGCTTTTAATGAACTGGTTCACGATGGCATTTGAGGAATTTTTAGCTGTTCGATATTCGTGAGAAAATTTTCAACGTCAAGTCAGGATTTCGGTAAAGCAATTTTAAAATTTGAATTGACTACGCTAATCAGCTCATTTTAATCATCTTTAAAAGCCAAATTATCCAATTATCAGCACAATTAACATGAGTTTCTGAAGCTGTTCCTCTCTTGAGAGGGTCTGTTTTAGAAAAGAGGATAGATGATAAGCCGAACCATCTTTGATTCACCTGTTCGAAGCTTCTTCGAGGTGAGGCCCATACGTCTGAACATGGACGTGAGTTGATGCCCTCGCCGGCTCCTTGAAAGACATCTGCTGGCAAAAATGGCTCAATGAAGAATTGTGATTGATATTTTTGGAAGAGGCTTGTGAGAGGGACATTTTTTAATGTAAATGGTGTCAATTTCATGATTTACTGCGAGAGTTACTTCAACGAACTTGAAAACGTGGCATCTTCGTGACAACTGCAGTTTCGTGGACCTTTCCAGTGTGTGTGTGTTATATACGTGACACCGAAGATCGTTGTGTACAATTGATACAGTACTGTACTGTATTATTTTATTTACATAAGTGAAACGTTTTTTTTCAGTTTCGAGAACCAAGCTCCGTGTTCATTTTTTTCCAAGCCGTGACTCGTCGAATTGATTAAAGTGAAAGGAAATTATTTTCTGCGATTTTGGTCGAATTTTCCTTCCAGCAAATTTTGGAAAAGATCCTCTTATTTTAAATCAAATCCTATTCCAGAGGAAAAAGTAAAAAAAAAAAAGTAACGTGTAACTCCGCAAATTCGTTTTTCACCTATTTAAGATGCATCCATATTTTCATATTCGGCAAAAAAAGTTCTTGGTCGAGTATATAGTTCAACTGTAAGCCAGAAGCGATTAAGTTATCCAAAATGTCCCAACCTATCTTGGAAAAATTCGACATGAAATGAAGCAAGCTGTGTACTTTATCGATGTAGAAATTTCTTAACTTAAGCTTTACCTGATTATAAAAACCAAATTCTAGTGACGCCTATGTGAAAAAGAGGAAATTGGCGATGAAAAACGTTTTTCAGAAAATATGACGTTGACCTCCTTTCCTCTTGAGGGAGTTGAGGTGCTAATTTCCAGCCGCGGGAGTTGAGGTGCTAATTTCCAGCCGCGTTTTTCACATTTATTTCTACTGTATTTCTTGTTGTAACATTACTGTATGCATTAATATGCTATCCCAAGCTGAATACAATATCGATGTAGAAATTTCATGACGGAAGCTTCACCTAATAATGAAAAGCAAATTCAAGTGACACCTGCGTGAGAAAAAGGGAATTGGGGATGAAATCCGTTGTCCAGGAGAGATGACCATGATTTGCTTTCTTTTTGCGGGAGTGGAGGTGCTGACTTTCAGCTGTTCTTTTTACAAGAGTAGTTTGCAGTCGAACCTCTCAAAGTCGAACTTTAAGGGACCAGCAAAATAATTCGACTTACGGAGGGTTTGAATTGAGCTACAATGCAAAGCCCTTTTGTGTTGGGAAACATGGAAATATTGCTAAAATTGTAATATTCTGAGGCTGAAATTACTTCTTGAATGAGTTGAAGGCATCCTGAACTTGGAGGTAGGGTTCATTTGCCCAATTAAGTCTCTCACCTCCTTTTAAAACAAATCAATTTTTATTGCTTTTATCTCTTTCTTGTGTCAAGAAAAAAAAAGCCAACAGGCCACAGAAAATTCGACTTATGGGGGTTTGAGGGAAGAAGCCTTCGACTTGGGTAGGTTTAAATGCATTAGTTCTGAGGGGATTCAGACAGGACCTAAAAAAAATTGGACTTAGGGAGGTTCGAGTTATCGAGATACACCTGTATTTGTAAAAGTGTATCCAAAATTATTTCTTCACGCAATTCTCGGGTCATTTTTGTTTTTGAAAAAAAAGCACAAATTTGCCCACCTCTTGGGAAATTCGGGTCGATGATCGTCATCCGACTGCGGCAAGTGTTCAATACGGAACGTGATCTGAAATGCGCGGACTTGTGTTCGTCATCCTCTGTGCTGCTGGTTTTGGCGAGTTTTTTCGCGAAACCCGAGTCTTCGTTCTCGTCTCTTCGCCGTTTTTTATTGCTGCGCTGTTCGGAGACCATGTGCGACCTGATTCTGCGTTTATGGGTCGATGCGTGGAATTTGACTGCGCCGTCACTCTGCGCATTCTTGTCCCTCGTTGGGGCGCTGTTCTTTTTCGGGCTTTCGCTCTTCGACCTTCCGAAAAGTTGAGTGACTTCTGATGATTTTCAACGCATCGTCGGTCGGAAATTGGCATTCCCGAATTGAACGCGCAGGAATGGTCAAGCATTATTTTGGAGATTGTTATGTGTGCCGTTCGTTGAGAATTCTTTTTTTTTAGATTACCCTTACAGTACTATACATGTACAGTATTACATTTGGATTCTCTTTAAAAAAAATAATAATAAGGGAACCAGGAAAAAATATCCTTGTAGAGAACCTCTGTAATATTGGTGGAGACCTCTGTGGGATCACAACAAAATTCCTTATCTAAAGAAAATTTTTGTAGAAAGAGTCTTATGCGCTAGATAGTGTATTATGCGCTGGGTCCTCGCAGTATGAAATTATTCCGTAGCATTGCGCAGGATTTCCGTAATACGAAACTCGTTTCCCCTTAAGGATACATTGTAAATTACGGTTTCTACGTTGTTGAATTTTGGAGGCTTTCACAATAAAGTAAAACTTTATATATTGTACCTGTAAAGCGTTTCCTTTTTCTTATTTTTCGGCAGAAAATGGTGCACGTGATATTATTTAGTTTGAAATTCTGTTGATCCTGGCAATTTCGTGCAAATTTCTAAATTCACAAAATTTAAAGAAAATAAGACACGAATGTTTGTTTTTCTTTTTGCATTTTAGATTTTTTTTTTCATAAAAAAAGACGAAGTTCAAGCACAAAAATAGATAAAAATTTGAACGTTTTTGGTCCCAGAATCCCAAGTCCTTGTCTGAATTCCCTTCGAAACAATACATTAACAATTTCCCGACTCAAATGTAATCCCCTCAAATTTCTGTAATTCGAATGTGCTGGAGGCCTTTCGGCGGTAATTTTATCTACACGGGGAAGAGAAAAGCGACAAAAGTGTAAGTTAATGTGCTTAGAAAGTAAGTGAAAGACTGATTGGACAAATGAACCCTTGCCTCGATGATCAGCATCCTGTCAACTCGTACAAGAAGCAGTTTAAGGACCAAAATATCCCCGATTATAATTTCCTGAAATTCTTCTTTCTTCTCCTTCTTGCTGGTCTTTCAAAGTTTGACTTGACGAGGTTAGTCTGTTATCTAAAACCAACTATAGCACTGTCATTTGTGTCATGGTATACCGGGAACTCTACTGAACAGAATTCAAGCGGAAGTGCGCAATTGTTTCGATGAAGAATGCAAGAAAAATTTAGAAATGTATTGCCATCATTTGAAAGGACGTGAGAGACCATTTGGGCAAATTTAACTTTTGCCGCCACATTCAGCCTCCTTTCGACTCATTTA